CTTTTAATCATTACATCTATGTGTTTCTCTTCCAATTTGAAAGACAATGAACCTATATTTCCAAATCCTGAGATTGTGGATTTCAGAGAGTGAAAAATCCAGAATACTGCTTATATGTGAACTGCTCTCACTACTGAACGATGATGTTAGGACTACTAGAGTTTGCCTCACTTCAGTAACATGCTGAGAATCAGTTTCTATGACAAATTTACACTTTTCAGTGAAGAAATTTCAGTCCCCAGCCAATAATGCTCCAATTACAATACTTTATGCAAAAATTTTATTTTGATACTTTTTGCAGCTTGAGTCAGTGGGAGATAGATCTTTGGTCTCCTCACACAGAGACAGTTACAAAGCAATTCACTCAGGGTATATTAGAACATTCATGATCCTCCTCTAGCAAATTCTCTAGCAGACATTAGTCTGTTTTCACTTATTTTATTATTATTTGGTGATTGAAACAACTACATGAACCAGCCTGTTCTTATAATCCATCAGTCGGGATATATTTTCAACCTTGGTTTCAGCTCCAATGACACAAATTTTGTCCCTGAACAAAGATTTCGGATTCTAGAAAGGATTTATATTTATATATAATATATTTAGATCTTTATCACAATAAGTTCTTTAATATCTACACTATTCCCTTTAATATGTCAGACAGTACAGGTGCAATAATCTTTATGTTACTTGGTAGCAAGGTTATATCCTTTTTTGATTAGTCAATAACACTGACACTATTAACTACTTACTCAGTTTCATTGGATTTTTGACAATATCAGTAATTTTATTCTCAGTTTATGATTAATCCTTTAATAATTGCAACCAATGCTAGATATAAATATTCATTACCGTATAGTTTATTGTTAGTTTATTGTTACTAAAGACAAATTTCATACTACTAAAATATGACTTATTTCAAAAGCTGCTTCAATTAACCCATACTGGTGCAGATATGAATAAAGAAATCAATCTGCACAATTCAGTGCAATGTAAGCATTTCAGAAACCAAGTACTACAATAACCTAATTTTTAACCAGATATGATACGAAATCAAGATAAATTAACAAACATTAATTTAGACTAATTAAGATTAGATTAATTAAGATTAATTTAGAAGTCAAACAACAAAAATCAGCGGTATATTTTCAAAATTTCACTGGACTAGTTTTGAGGGTTTTACCGAACCATAATCCTCAGCTGCAAAAGCGCAAATGAAGGAGATAAGATATAATGATTAGATAAGAAAGCCTGGACAGGATACAAGCCACTAGTGCCATTTGCTGATGAAACCAGAACTAAAACATAATTTCTTTAAAGGCTGAAGGCAAAGATGGATTGGAATTAGGGTCGTTAACTAGAACAGAAAGATTTTTTTGAATATGAAATGCCTCTAGAAAATCCAGTTTATCAATGGAAGATTTTTTTTTGAATAATTTTGGCAGCAGAAAAATTGAAAGTGTGATTTTCGGACCAACAATATTGGGCAACAGAAGACTTCTGGGTTTCCTTTTTTCTAACATATGCCTCATGTTCCTTAACACAGAACTTTAAGGCTCTTTTAGTTTGGCCAATGTAAATTAAGCCACACTGGCAAGGAATCCTGTAAATATCCCAGGAATTCATATCCAGAATGGGGTCCTTGAGTATGGAACTCTGAATTTTATTGATGGGAGAATAAACGACCCGAAAGTTAAATTTCTTCAAAATACGTGCAAGTTTACAGCTAATTGATGGAAAGAAGGGAATGACAACAGAACTTTTATATCTCCTAAAACAAGAGTGTGCCTTTTGGTGTGTTGAGATGCGAATGTTTTAACAACTTGATTAATAATGTTGGGTGAAAAGCCCCTGTCAATAGCTATTGCTTTTAAATAATTTAGTTCTTTATCAAGGGATAATTTGGAGGAGCAAACTTGAAGAGCACAGAAAACATAGGAATAAAATAAAGCTAACTTTTGTTTAGTTGGATGACATGATTTGAAGTGTGGTGAAAGGCATATCGATGAAGGTTTATGGTAAACCGTAGCACTGAAGTTGGATGTGTTACGTGTGACTAGAATGTCAAGAAACGAAAGAGAATTGCAAGTCTCGAGTTCAAAAGTGAACTGAATAGCAGGATCAATGGAATTCATTGTTAAAAGAACTTTATTTAAATCATCTTTATTACCTTCAAACAGGATAAAAGTATCGTCTACGTAGTGGAACCATACTGGGAAGTTTAAAGTATCAAACAATTTTGACTCATAATAATGCATGTAGATATCACCCAAGGTGACACTGAGGGGGCTTCCTATGGCTAATCCCTCAGTTTGCTTGTAATATTTATTTTGGAAAACAAAATGTGTTTGTTTCAAACAGAGTTAGTTGAGTGAGAGAAATTAGCTCACCAATTTCAATGCAAGAGAAATGAAATTCGCAAAGTCTGGTTTCTAGACATCTTAATGCACCTTCCACTGGAACATTGGTGAATAATGATTTTACATCAAAAGAAACCCTGAGTAAACTTCTAGGAGAAATGTTTTTAACCTTTTTTACAAACTCTACAATTTTTTTATGGTGTAAATGTTATTGTCTAATGAAGATATCATAGAAATGACTTTTAAATCATATTCTGTTGTACCTTGATCTCCCTTTTAGGTATTTATGTATGTTTCTATGAACAAAACATTATATTTTATTGACTAAACAGCACAAATATAGTGATATTTTCAGCTGCTTACACAGTCTGATGATAATAATGTGAAAAATTATTTTACAAAGCCAGTCACAGATAAAAAATTTAATAAATCTGCTTTTTTTAAAGCTTTATTTTTTAAACTATGAATGATTAAGAATAACTGCCACACTCCTTGTAAGATCACATATTATAATTAGAATCATTTTTGAAGAGCTGCCAAAACACTTTTGAAAAGAAAACTAACATAACCTGAATTTCATGCAATTTCACTGATAAAATTCATAAAAATACAGCCAACTGAAACGTACTCAGATAAGTGGTCTTAATTGCTGTATAAATTATGTTTACGGAAATAAACTTTATGCACATAAAATAAGCTGTAAAATTCTTACTACTCAAATTATTAGCTGCAAGTCTACAAATCAAAATTTCTTATAAAAATGATTTGTTATACCAAAAATCTTAAGTTTTACTAGCTACTATAAAGTTTTATTGTTTTACTGCAGGCTTCTTGTTTAGTTACATGAAATGTTTCAATTGGATGATCCACTTTTTAAGTAATAATTTTGCTGCTATTTTCCATAAAAAATATATTGAGCCAAATACAAAATTCTGCAGACATCAATTATGACTGTATCTGTTGTTCCTGACAAAGTACAATAAATAAAAGGCAACAAATAGAAGAGAAGTATCACTTCCATTACTGTTACATAAAAGGAATGGCAAAGATGTAAAATTGCCAAAACCATTTTAATTTCCTGGCAAATATCATAATCAAAATCAACATCAATTCTTATTACCCTTTTAGTTATGCTGAAAATAAGAGATGGAAAAAGGGAACACCTTGAAACATTCAGCAATAAAGTTATAAGCAATAAAGATTTTTAAAAAATGGAAAATACAAACATATAAGAGTTATCAATATTTAAAATAACCAAATAATAAAGCAACATTCAACAAAATTTAAAGCAGACATAGTCAACCTGGTCTCTACTGCCCATTAGTGGGCAATTTAAGTTTTAATGATAGGCGGTAGAGGCTTTTGTCTATACCATCATAAATGTCCATTCTCCCGCACAGAGGTCACTCTCCTGTTTCAAATACATTTACAAGGCTCTGCCACTTCTCCTATGTGTTGTTCTGGGACAGCACACATAGTGGGATTATCACATCTTCACAAAGTGTAAGGAAAATTTTTCCCAAGAAACAAATTTTTCATCCTACCATTGATGGGTTCCTAGCCGAAACACTTTCGGTGGAACTTACATCGAAGCTAGCTAAATGGGACATGAATGCTGTCTCTTACAAATGTAATCTTATGTAAAATATAAATAAATGGATAAATGTAACTATCAATGTTTTTACTACAGAGTAGAGAAAAATACAAATTATAGCTATTTAGATGACTGAATTTGAAAGCTATCATATAAAACTGCATTACTAAATTTTAAAGTTGTTAGAAAGCATTCAGTTTTAAATAACCCGCAGAAGATATTTAAAAAGATATATTATTCATGTCTATAGTAAACATATGTCAAACTTTTAGTAAAGTATAACAAGAGCTGCTGCACTTTACTAAGATCAGTACACCTTTTTATAAAATAAACTAATCACAAATGATTTTCTTTAACTCATTTTTAAAGATCCCTTTTAGAGAACTACTGAAAAAAATTTCAGGCATGCACTACACTAAAGTTAACACTTTTCATATACATACGCATTTTCACAAAAACTATAATTCTTAAACATCAATTCCTGTTTAGTAATACTTTTAAACAAAGGAACCATTATTAATGATAAACCATTCTCAACTTTAAACATCCAAAATATAATTAGCACTTTCAGGCACACACATATAATCTTCAACTACACTTCTTTTAAAAAACATTTTTAAACTACTTCTTTGAAAATGAAGAAAACAAGAACACCACCTCAAAATTGTTAAAATATTAATATACCCAACCCATAGCCGGTAAAATGGGGGGAGGGGAATTACAGATCTGTTGAAAGTATCAATCAGAAGAGGTAAGGCAAATGATAAAATGAAAATAAACATGAGTAGTAATGCTTTAAACTTCCAACCTGATAAAAAGAGTAGAAGCTAAATGAGAACGTTTAAGTCTACGACAATTTAAGTTCTCACAACATACCGGTAATAAAACAGTTTGAAATTTTAAATGTTCCTCAGCAAAATCTATTCTGAAATAGCTTAACTAAATGGATAAATAAATAAAAAGAGTTAGCCCGCTTATTATCCGAAAGTCAACTCTAACGTTCCACTGTATTGGTTTCACCATAATTATCTGTTACTTATTCTTACCTGTTTTAAATCCACTTCAATATCAGCTACATAGTTTTCAAAAACTGTGGGAACATATACTTCAGGAAACTGATCCTTACTGAAAACGATGAGCAAGCAAGTCTTGCCGCAGGCACCATCACCTACAATTACAAGCTTCTTCCTGATAGCCGCCATTTTCTGTTATGACTATGCCTACCTGAAGATATCAATAAACTTTATGGTGTTTCCTTACTGCAACAGAATGTGGATAATAAACTTTAACCGCACGCTTACTGTGAACATTGAATATATTCTACGCAACGGACTCGAAAGCAATGTTAATTTAACATTAACAAAATATCCACACCCCTACAACATGTTGACATTTAACAGATCAGTTCGATGCCATTTTCTTATGTGAAGAACTTTAAAATATGCTTCTCATGCAATTTTAACAATCAGCCGGTTGCGAGGCCAACCGCCTAAAATAATTATTACAAAAATAAAACAAAAAATAAGAATAAAGAATTAAATAAGTAAATAAATAAAAATATAAAAATTAAAAATAAAATAAATAAATACTTAAATAAATAAAAAGGAGTAAATAAATAAAATAAATGAGTTCAGCTAGTACTATTTCATAAAAATATTTAACGATTTAATAATAAACCCCAAATATTGCTTTTTTGATTACACTACTTTTACTTTATTAGCGACTCTGATGTCCCTTACGACCGAATGCCCGGGTTCGAACCGCGGAGGAGAAATGAATGTAAGTTGTCTGTTCCTTCATAGGAAGCAGCGGTGGCTCACCTATTAGGTACTTCCCTAATAAAATGACCACTGCTTTTGGCTTTAGTAATGGCCATTGCCTATAATGGCTAGCGCCCGGGAACTTTAACCAATTGTTCCAATCCAATGATTACAAACTACAGATGCAATAGAAATTAGTCCACTACTGCTCCTTGTATGATTTCTTCAATATAATACCTAGTTTTCATCAGGGGCGTAGCTAGAGGGGGGCATCTGTTCCCTGGCGCAGAATCCAAGGGGCGCCAAACTGATGTTACGATATTTTAGAATTAAATGTTTTCCATCCTTGGCTAGCAGTAGGGGGCGCGAAATCTTCAGTTGTCCCTGGGCGCTGAAAACCCTAGCTACGACTCTCGTTTTCATTATACTTCACTAGAACGAAGAAAAGGGTTATAAATCATTTAAATTTCCGGCGCATAAATTACCTTATCGTTTAACAATAGTAAACGTTGCCATTATTGAAGTTAGCTCAAATATCGACTGTTTCATTTATTTAGTGTCCTTTTGTTTTTATTAAAGAATTCCAAGATGGAGAGCAGAAACGTTGTTCTGTTTTTTCGTTCTGTGGCTCACATTTGTTTTCGAAAACCTGTGCTTTTCAAATTTATTTGCAAATACCAGTTACTAAATATAAGCGAAGTGACTTTATATTTCTTTTGACTTTATATTATTGGTCATCTATTTAAAATCATACTTGTTTTGAAATAAGTTTTTCAATGTATTTTTGGTTGGAAAAAAAAGAAAGAAAAAATTCGAAAAGTTCTGAAAATGAATTCACATGAGCATTCGGACATTTTAAGCAATCCGTTTGTATTTTAACGAAAACATGAAAATAGCAAGGCATTCAATATTTCGTTGGCTATCCTATAACTAAAATTCTGCTTTTCAAGAGGTTTGGCATAGATTCAACTAGTTTCTTCATCCAAGAACATTCCATTTTGTTAAGAGTCGCCTTTAGTAGAGCTTACAACTAATATCATATTTCCTTATTCTTTTCTCCAACTCACTCCCTGTACTTAGAATTTAAGGCCGGAAAAGGTCTGGAGACGTGTTCCTAGTACGTTCAACCAATCAGACGAAAGTTCTGCTTCTGAAGGATCACGGGTAATTTTCAATATGGAGATGGCTCTATGAAATCATGGACGGTGGAAATAGATGCTGATTTAATTAAAGAAATACGGAAAAGGCCGTATGTATATTGCTGTTTTGTTGTAGTCTGTCTAAGTCATTTTTAAATGTTTATATATTCATTAAACTTATAATCGGGGAAATTTCAGAGTACACAATATTTTATGACGTGCTATTTCTGATGATTGGTTTACAAATTATTCGTCGCAAAAAGTTCGCCAAATTTGTCGTATTTCGGCTGATCGTGTGAAAAGAATGTTATTGTTATATAATATAATTTTTTTTTTATTAAGGGGAACAATTTTTTTAAATAAGTTTGTATATGCGCGACTTTATTTTTCTGCTAAAGTAATTAGCTATTTCTGCTAAAGTAATTACTTTTATTACTTTTCAATTGAAATTGCATAATAAGCGATTATGTATATTTATTAAAATATAGATTATTTAATAATGAGGACACACATTAAATTTGTATGCTATTATTTTCATGTTATTAATGAAAGGCTTTTTAGATTATAAACACATTAAGAACTATATTTTTATTATAAATGCTACATATTGAAACATTGGAAATTTATGAATTTATTATTATGAATGATGAAAAACGTTTGTATATATATTCATAAATAAAACTCTTATTCATTGCATTAATACTAATAAACATACATAAACAAATTCTAAACCATCGCATCTCTATCGGTATCTGTAGGTAAATATATGACTTATTAGATGTGTGTGTATCTATCTATATATATATATATATATATATATATATACATATTGCCAAAAAGTTTATTTGAAGTTACTTCTAATTCATATAACGCTTATTTAATTGTCAGCAACTGTAGTCCTCAGTTCTTTGCACATTATCATGGATATGGAATACACAGTTGAAAAATAATTGAAATGCATTTTGTGCATTAGACTAGTCGTTAAAATTCACCCACCTCCACACAACCTTTGCATTTGTAACTATACTTCGGAATTTAAACAAAAAAATTTACCAAGTAGGCTTTATGAAATAGTTAACACTTTGGGGATAAAATAAAATTTTTTCATTCATCAAAAAACAAATATCAGTAAATGGCATTATATCATGTGCATAAAAGTTATTAAATAAATAATATGGATACAAAAATAACTATTTACAATAATAAAATCGAATATATACAACAGATCATTGGAAAGAATAGCACTTCTCTTTGCACGTTTTTTTCTCTTTAGCTTTTAGAATCGCCAGAGTCGAGATAAAAGTGATTTACTTAATAGCCATTGCCTTTCTATTATTTTTAATAACTAACAATAAAGTTTAAAATGAAAAGAGTGTGAGCGACACAAAATACAACACGGAAAAGCAATCGTCACATGAAAGGAAACGTCACTTTCGCCAATCTGAGCGATAACTGATTCTTGTTCGTCTTTCATCCTGTTGAAGATGGTAACCCGATTTCGCGGAAGCTCACTTCCCAGGATTGTTCCCTCTAACATTATGCTTCGGCGACAAATATCGTATGTGATAGCAGCTTTACTAGCCAGGGCTCCATTCCGGGGTGCAGGACTCCACTTTTGGGCGCTGGATTTTCTCTCGTTAATGCTTAACCATGGAGAGGCTCGTAGAAATTTATAATGCGAAAATTTATGAATTCGAGCAAGTTAGAGAAAACAAAGGTGAACTTTCTGATATTGAAAGTAATTTCTGTGCATTTTTGTTAACCTCATTAGACATTGTAAAAGCTCTCAAAGAATAAAGCAATACTAGTGCTGAAAAATACCCAAAACAGAGGCATCGAAGCAAATATATCACGAAAAATACTTGTGTGATCTTGTAGTTAAAATTATCCAATATAAAGGTCGACAAGGTCCGATACAGGGCTTTCGATATCAAGGTTTTAACCACACGCAAGCCTGTTGTAATTATGAATCAAAATGTATCAAATGCGGTAATAACCACTACATAAATGGCTGCCCAGGCATGAATAACAAGGAAAACCAAAAACATTTTCAAACAGAATAATCGAAAGAAAATCATACGTCCAAACGCTATCGTCCGAAATTTATTCCGAAACTGCAAACGGGGAGAAAAAGGCTTTCTTAGATTTGGCTGAATTGGTTACAGTCATTAAGAGTGCTGGTTTTCTCCAGCTCACACAACAGGTTAGAGAACTACATAAAACGAATCAAAAATCACGCCACAAAATAATAATGATAGTGAATCCAAACACAACTAATAGGGCTCCAATACAGATTATGGCGTAGAATGCATACAGCATGCATAACAAAATTCAGGAACTACAAAACCTTTTACTAGTGTACGATATTGATAGTCCACTTATAACAAAGACGTTTGCGAGTCCGAGCATCAATATTAAAATCGCAAGCTGGAGAAGTTATCGCTGCAACAGATTGAGTCACAGAGGTAGGAGGGTCGCAATTTTCGTGAAGAACTCCTTGCAATCCTGCCTAATAAAAGAGGATCCGAGAAATGGTCACGAGTCTGTAACTGTATCTGTTTTGCTCCCCCTTTATGGAGTCGTTTATTTTGTAGCAGTGTATAACCTGCCAAACAATATTCTAGATGAAACTATTTTGACTGACTTTCTTCCAAATAACAAGTATATTATATTGGCTGGTGACCTAAACGCTAAGAATACTGAATGGGGATGTCGGAGGACAAATCACAATGGTGAAATTCTCTTAGAATTTTTAAACAACTATCCCATTTATTTTTATGTACCCATATAATACATGTATATATTCCAGATAACTCCAGAAGAGGAGACATACTTGACGTATTTCTCACAACCACTTCAATTCCAATGTATTTTGAGGTGAAAGTCGAGATGACTTCAGATCATTTACCTATAATTGCAACATTAGGTACGAATAAAAGTAGCGTACAAAAAGTGTACAAAATAGAGTGCCTACAATGATATTCTACTTAAAAACTTGAAATCTATTAATGATATTGACTATGCAATTGATAATTTAACTAACAGCATACTCAGTGCTTACAACTTTGCCACCACAAAAAGTCTTTGGGATCAGAACACAGACAGATTTCCTCTTTTTATTAGAGAAAAAAATCAAACAGAGAAATAAACTTCACATGAGATTTAACATTTCATGGGATCCCAATATTAAAAGAAACATGAATAAATTTAGGAGAGAAATCAATAGCTGTATTAATACGTACAGAGTAGAAAAATGTAACGAGAAGTTTTCCAGCTTTAATGAACATGATAATACTTTCTGCACTTTTACTAAAAATCTTAAAAGAAAGCAGCAATGTAATAAACCCATCTACGGAAACAATAATATTGCTCTCACCAACAAAGTTGCAGTTATGGCTGCAAACCTTGAAAATCAGTTCATGATGAACTTAGACCCATGTGAACTCACCTTTTCATATGATGTCAGATATTTTATTAAAGAATTGATTATCGATCCTGGAGCTAAAAACAAGACAGAATACT